CTTACCACAGCCTACCAGGCCTCAGAGGCCTCTGCTGCCACCCCCCATCTCTCTCCCTTCTCCAACCACACTGACTGCTTTACTGTTCCTCAAACAAGCCAGCCGCTTCTGCTCTGGGGTCTTTGCACTTTCCGATCCCTCGGGCTAGGACACTCTCCCCTCTAAACGGCTCTCTCACCTGTTAAGTGTTACCTTCTCTGGCCAACCAAATTCAAACTGTGACACTTCCCATCCCCTTCCTACTTAGCTTTTCTCCACAATTTGTTAACATGGGCTAATATATCATTTATTTTGTTTACTGTAAGCTTCAGAGGGCAGGGGTCTGTGTATTGTCTTTGCTGTATTCTTGGTACCTAGTGTAGTGCCTGGCACAAACTTGGCACTCAATAAATATTGAATGAATGAGTGAATTCTGTGACCGGGGAGCAGTAGTCTGAGCTTCATATACCCCATTTCTCTCCCAGACCTAAGGGAACTGCATTTGTTTATTCTCAAAGGGGCATTCCATGGCTCACCACTGCCAAAAGTTCAAGTTTATTTTGGGTGTTGTTAAACTGGTCCCCAGTAATATCTCCAGCCTCGGGAGAGTTCCTCACCCTGTTAACACCCTCAGCTCTTGTCCTGCAGGCTTTGGGTCAATTCCCCCCTTCCCTGACCCTGTGACCCCTTCAGGCTGGGCACCCACACCAGGATACCTGGGCACTGCCTCAGCATTGCTGTCTATATCCCAGTCACCTCCTCCAAGGAGGGGGTCTCCTGAGGGCGGGGCCCTTGTTAGTCAGCTCTGCATCACCAATGTGCCAGTTCAGGGCTGGGACCCCTGGGCACTCAGGGACCCTGAGCTGAATTGATGGGCATCTGGGTCCCAAGTTTACTCCTTTTGGGGGACCTGGGTATGTCTGGCTTCTTCAGACTCAGGACCCCGGCCCTACTTTCTTTACTCTCCCCAGCCACCTAGGACCATTCCCCTCAGTGGGCTGATACCTGCTTTCTCTGCTCACTTGCTCTCAGGATACCCCCATGGCTCTCCACTGGGGAAGACACAGGTCTGAGTTTCCCCCCAATTCATGTCCTGCTAACCTCTCTCCCCTCCATTCCCCCCAACCCCCCTCAGCAGCATCACGTGTGTCACACAGACGCAGGCCCATCCCCTGAGGGTTAAGAAGCGGGTTTGCAGGCCAGGCCGGCTCCCTGGGACTCACTTCACATCTCCCTGTTGTCTCTCTCTGTCTCTGTGCTTTGCTCTGCCCTGTGAGTATGTGTGTTTCTGAGCACAGGCAGACACACACACACACACACACACACACACACACACACACACACACACACGAGGGAGAGAGAATGAGAAAACACTTGTACCCCTCCAGGCGAGGGCCAATCAGGCTCTGCGAGGCAGATGGGGGGTTCTCAGGCGCCCACATGCCACTTCCCATCATGCCCCCTGCCTCTCCAGGGCTCCCCTGATGAGAGTCATTTGGAAAAACAAGTCTGCGACCTTCACAGATTAACCCCTGCCTGTCTCGCCTAGGACATGGCCCTGGGCAGAGCTGCACTGGGAATGGGACATCTGGGTCCCCTGACCAAACACCAAGCCGAGGGACGTGCTCCTGTCCTGACAACCCTGCTGCTGGCTGGCATCTCCTGTCGGGTCCTGAACAGCAGTGGGGGAGCAGAAGCCCTGCGGGGAGGGGCTATGCCTTGAAGGCAGTGCCTCTGTGACTAGCACTCTTGGGGGACCCCCTACCCCAACCCATTTGCATCATTCCTGTCTCGCTCGGTAGGAAGAGGAGACTCTGCCCTGCCCCTGGAAGCCCCCAATCTGAGGACATAAAGGGACCCCCTCAGGCAGGCACAGAGCACTGGGCTCCTGAGGCCCCTCAGTCCGTAAGGGAAGGGTAGAACTGGGGAAGGGGACGTTTCTTAATCCTTCTCCTTTTTAATCTTCCACCCTCAGCTTTTTTCCTTTTCCTGGCCAAGTTCCCCAGCACCCTCAGGAGGGCCACTTAATCAAATGGTCCCCTCCCGCCCCAGCCCTACACATGGGGATTGTCTAGCCTGGAGCAAGAGCGAAAAGCAGCCCCCACCCCAGTGAATGAGCCCTAAGAATGAAGGACATGGGACAGGGCCCTGTGGGCAGGAGCTCAGGATCCCAGTCCAGCTTTACCTTTCCGTTTTCTGAGCTTCAGTCTCCTGTCTGCACAATGGATTCAGTTACGGTGCTAATCCCGTACCATCTCTGCCCCCTCCCCATTCAGGGGCCCTGGAAATGACCCCTCAGACTTTCTCCCCTCATTTTGGTTCACATTCCGGTTTCACCAGCGGGATTGGAAGGCATCTATTCGTCCCTCTGTTTCGAGGTCCTTCTCACCTCCCAGGGAACTGAGAGGAAAACACCCTCATCTGGGAAGTCCTTCTGAAAGCTAACTCCGGTCTTCACACTGCAATAGCTAAATAGATGTGTTCTGGCTGGAAGCTGGGTGGTTTGGCTTCCCAGCTGGCAGGGAGGGAAATGCGGCTCCAGGAGACAGTGCTGGGGACTCACCCTCTCGTGTGTCCAGGCCAAATCCCAGGGACGGGAGGACCACAAGCAGGCATGCCACCCACGGCCACAGACCAGGCACTGCCATTGCCCCAGTCCTGACTCTCCTCCAGATGGCTCCGGGAAGGAGAAGGGCCTGACTGACCCTAAGGGACACAGAGACACAGCTTCAGAAGAGAAGGGAAGGGTAGGGACCAAGCCACGAGGAATCCCACACATAGATAGCAGGAGACCGAAAAAAGGAGTGACAGCCACAGAGACGCAGACAGTGACAAGCAGCTGGAGACAGAGAGATGTAGACAGGGATGCAGAAAGCAACAGGGAGAGGCTAGAGAGGACGGACCCCAGGGGCAGAAGGTCACACAGGGTGCAGAGCAAAAGGCGTTCCAAGAGACCGGCCAGCCCCAAGGGCAGAGAGAAGTCCCAGGAGCATGCCATACCAAGGAGAGTAGCAGGGATCCCGGGGCACGCTGGAGAGTCTCCCCGGATCCCTGGGGGCGCGCTCGGCTCCCAAGCACCCACTGGCCGCGCAGGCTGCGGTGTCTCCGGGGCGCGTGCAGGGGCTGCGCCCGCCCCCGCCCTCCCCGCCCCCAGCCCAAACGGATTGGTTTGCTGGGACCTCTCGGTTCTCTCCGCCCCTCCCGCTAAACCAAAATATTTAGCCTGACAACTGAGGGGTTGACAGGTCTGTTGGGGAAATAAGGCCAAAATCAGGGGGAGGGTGATAGACCAAGAACTGAGCTCCCCTGCCCCCCCCCCCC